TGTATATATATATATATATATATCGGCTGAAGCTCCTCCTCCAGTTTGTGGTTCAGCGTCTTGATGTTTTTCCAACAAATAGAGGGACCTACAGATTATACTACGCCCTATGCGAACGGCTGATGGTTTTTTACGAGGAGCCTTATTTCATGTCCGAAAAACACCCGGAGGGGTGAATATTCCCTGCTGGTGGCATCCGGATATGAACCCGAGCTTTCCTAATGTCAGCACGCAATGCTAACTAAAATTATATTTGTGGTTTTACAGTTATGTTTTGAAAAACGATGAATTGAAGTTGACTTTTGTAATTAAAATTTTGATGTATACCTTCGATTCCAAATAATTTAATAATTTTATAGTCAAATAGTTAATAATAATAAGTCTTCTATTTCATATTGCAGCTTAATAGCATTGCTTGATAATCGAATAATCTCTTCAATAATGTAATAATTGAAAAAGTTTCTAATCTTTTGTATAAGCCTATCATATTGCTTCGGCATAAAATTTTTATTATTTACAAAAATATTGGGAATCGAAATCAAAAATATAACTATTTTTTTATTAATATTCCCACAAAATTACGAATTGTTAACGAAATTTGACCTTCCATCCATAAAGAAGTTCTCGCGTACTGGCCGCAACAAAAACTTCTTTTGTGTTTGTATATTCATTTCCTTTGTTTTGCCTAAACTTCCTTTCATTCCAAGCGTTGGCCGTGACATCTGTCGGCAAATAGTTGCATTATTTGAAGCCATGGATGGATGGAACGGTTGCTTTCGGTGTGCTCCTACCCAGTGGTATAAGTCTCCAAAAGGAGTTCCCCAAAACGGTTCCTCCACTAACAAATATAAGGGCAACGGAATGCTTTGCGCGGGAGTTCCGTTAAAAGGGGTGTCGCCTTTTTCTTTAATGCGGCGAGGGGAAGAATTGTCCCAGTGTACTTGGTGTGCCATGGTGGCGTGCGCTATCCTTGGGGTAATGGGGGCGGCGCCAAATGTTTGGGCACCAATACTCACTCACAGGAGAATTTTGAAGGCCGACGCGTAGCTTGCGGCCTGGCTCGTAAGTGCGAGCCGGATCAGATTCCAGCAATCTACGAAAGTGCGAACATCTCTTTTTACGCAGGTGTGCGATTTGATTTAAGAAAAAAATAATAATACCAGTACATAAATAGCGTTTTGCCAGGCGAGGCAAGTGATAGTGTAAGGGCAGTTGAAGCCTTGTGAAAAGTAGTGAAAGTTTTAAGCCAGTCGGGGCTTGTTTAAGAGCAGTCGAAGCCCAGTGCAGAATAGGTTTTTTTATATTCCAGTGTTGGAACCAGAGTTTGGCGTCGGCATCATCCGGACGAACACCCGACCCAGCAACCGCTAAGTATCATTTTTGCTTGTTAGCTTTTTGTCATTCCGACAGTGCCCTTCCCTCGTTACGTCCTCATTCATCCCTCTAGCATCCCGCACCCAGAGCCCAGTCACACAGGCGGGTTAAAGATACCCCCGGCTGCACGGGAGTAGTACGAGTGGGTTCGTAGCCAGTTCGATTGGACCACACCTCGGGTGCGCCCAAAAACATATTTTGTTTTATTGTTCTGTAGCTTGAGCTTGCGGTTAAATCTTTGTTGTCGTGCAATTTGTTTACCGCGTTAGCGAAATTCACTTGGTGTTGTTTTTCTCCCCGTTGGATTTTTTTATTGTACGTAGCTAGCGACCCAAGCCGTCTTCACTAAGCTGGCCGGTCGCTTTGTTATTTTTTTGTCATCTCCTTTTTGTGCGGTAGTTTGTTTTGACGTGTGTGGTTGTTGGTAGGCGCTTGACCAACAGCCACTGTAGGTATACATATGTATGTATGTATATGCGCACATACATATTGTAAATTAAAAAGTGAAGGTGACAAAGTGTACTAACAAAGCGAAGATCAATACTCTTATATTCCTTTCACTGCCAATTTTCGTTACGCCATTTTTTAATCTCATCGTCATTGGCATTTTCGTTGATGATTTATCGAAATCTTTACCCTTCTTATTTCCTAAATGTTAACCTTTTTTCTTAATTTCATAAGCAAAGGTACCTAAAGCTAATTCATTTATTCTTTGCACGAGCATGCCACTTACCATATCAATATGGTTTACACAATTATCTTCAAATACTGCATATTCACTTATACCTTTTAATCTCTTCTTATTCTAAGGTTATTAATTAATTTGGTAATTTTTAGCTGATTTTTGAATCTCGAAAATGATGTTTAAGCCTTTGCTTCCACTCATTCCAAGCAGAAGGGGGTCACACGTTTAATATATTTTTTGCTGTACCCTACATCTTCATACTATTAGTGATTTGAAAAATCTGCCAGGATCTTATGACGCGTTCAATGGTAAGGATAGCGATTTCCTTGACACTTCTCGCGGTTTTTCTTAAAAATTCTTATGACGTTTTATTTCTTTTTGAAATGTTATAGAAATATAATTCTCCCTTGCTTCTTTTGTCTCTGCGCTAGCTTAAAAATTTGTTTTGAACCAACATCGTTGCTCACTTTTTTTTGATCGTATCCCTGGATTATATTCCTGGAAACCTACCGACTGCGACAGTTAAGAAAATTACTTCTAATTGATTTTTAAACTTTATTGTTTGACAACCAGTTAAACACTAAGTCCGTTTGATGGCGTTGTACTTAAAAGGCTTTTTCGTCAGTTTTGTGATTGGTTAATTTAGTTTTGTTTGAGCGTGCGTCAATGATGGACACTAGCATAACTCGCGCTTTGCTCAATAGGTATGTAAAGAAGTAAAATTGCTGAATTTGTAAGCTGCCATTTTAGCAGTTAGGTGTGGTTTGTGGACCGGTGGAATCAGCGATACAAATTTCTGAAAAAATTATGCCGATGAGATCGTAATCCCCAATGGCAATCGTTATCGCGCCACTATAACCGACTTTTTGATGGCTTCATTAAATGAATTTATACAGAGAACACTTCGGTGAGCATAATTTCACGTTTTGGGCCAGTCGATAGATCATCAAGATCGGGTGCTATCACACCGTTACACTTCTTTCTGTGAGGATATGTAAGGTCTAAAGTCTATAGGGATAATCCCGCTTCGATTCAGGGTTTGGAGTAAGACGGACAATCTCAGACATAGATGCTTCCAGAACAAATACGGAATTTCCCGTACTTACATGACCCCTATCAAGTGCTTTTACTCCTCAGCTGCCTAAAGCCTGTCACAGTTTGGTGTGGCTTATGGCTTACTTCTTCAGAGATGATGCGAATCGTAAAGTAACTGTGAATTGTGAGCGCTATCGTGAGATGATATAACATTTTTTTTGCCCAATATGTAAGAGCTTGACTTACATGACATGTGTTTTCAACAAGACGGTGCCACATGCCACACAGCACGGGTAACAACGGAATTATTGAGAGGCGAGTTCAGTGAACATTTTATTTCACGTTCGGAGCCGGTCAATTGGCCGCCAAGATCGTGCGGTTTATCGCCTTTAAAATTTTTTTTGTGGCTATGCTAATGTCTATACAGACAAGCCCGTTTCAATTAACACATTGGATCATAACATTGTAGGATTTATTCGTGAGATACCGGCCGATATGTTGGTAAGAGTATGCCAAAATCGGACTAAGCGGATGAACTATTTGAGGCGCAGTCAAGGTCAACATTTGCATGAAATAACCTTCAAAAATTAAATCATATGGACCGTACTATCGATTTAAATAAAGATTTCATGCATTTTTCTGAATTTTTTGTGTTTTTTTTTTAAGTTTTCCTATAGCTTTAAAAAAATCACCCTTTATATAAAATTTTCGTGTCTTAGTATTAGACACGATACTCCTCCGAAAGGTTTGTCCGATTTGAATGAAACTTTATTTGCAGATTCGGTAGGCCTGAGAAGAACTTAACATTCATTTTTCACACCGAGAAGAGAGTTTGGGACTGAGTTAGCGTTTTGCTTAGTTTAGCAGGAATATTACTTTTGTTTCCAGGAATAGAACCTTGAACCTATCTTCTCAATTGTTTTTGTGGATTGGATTAATATCTAAAAATTTTCGAGTGTGGACCAAGTGTCACCGATCAGATATTTGGTTTTCTTGGCCCATTGAATAACCCGATAAATATAAAGTATGGACATATTATCTTCATGTGCGAGAAAGAATAACTCTCAGAACGAGATATGAGGTTAATTTTTAGTACAAATGCGATCTCGCTCAATGAGAAACCCTTATATTGAAAACAATTTATAGTTTTTCCTGAATTGATATCGGCTGGACCGAAATAAAATTCAACTGTATTAAGAGAATCTCGGGGACCGATTCATGCGAGATTATCATATGGGAACTGGTTCTTAATTAACTTATTTATGGTTCAATTTGCTTGAATTTTTTTCATTCGTATGGGCTGCTTGAACATTTGCTATCTAAAACCGCTGAGGTTATATAAATTTTATGAGAATTGCCCATGTTCCCGTGCTGAAAAACCGTCTTGGTTGTTTATTTTTCCTTGCCCACTACCATATTGCTTTCTGCTGATCGAGTTCATTCAAATAATTCACATTCCCATTTGAACTATATACATATTTATTATTATCACTTTAATGTAAGATAAAGGCATGTAATTAGGGCGAGGACAAGCTTTTGCCGACGCTGTTTAAATATGTTTAACGCATTTTTTTGAGAGTCCCTTCGAATTCAATTTGAATTTACAAGTTTTTTCACGTTATTTGTAAAGGCATTCACGCCTTTTCCCAAAAGATAATGAACTTGCTAAAACAAAAGTCCGCGAATGCGATCATAGATAAATTCACTTTATTAATATTGTGGAGCATAAAGTTAGAACTTGTTCATTATTTGATTAAAATAAAAATATATTCGCTGGAGCTGCGTGATTCTACTGGATATTGACTAATAGAAAACAACGTTTTTGCTGATAAAAAAAAAACAATTACAACAATTACAAGCAAATTAGCATGACTTCTCGCGTTTGCCTTTGTTCGTTATTGTAAGTTCACGAAATCTTATGCGGTATTAGTACACTCAGTCCTTTTGGCAGAACCAATAATCGCGTAAAAAAAATCGCGTAAAAATGGTTAGTTTTCCTTTCCCGCTTATTTTGATGACCTGCACTGATATCACTAGAATTTGTATCAGAATCAATAGTAAGAACTATGGATTGATGCTCTGATTGACTTAGCATTTCCGACTGAGTTTGCACCGTAAATTCAGTTAATTTTGTTTGAATGCTTCTTTTTGGACCCAATAAATTCCGATGTAGTTCTTTATATCTTAACATGCAGAGACTCAATTCTTTTTGAAAAATTCGTACACGCTCGGCATCAGTATCATTTGCTACAAAATAATTTTCCAATTCTGCTGCAAGTTTAAGACCTTGCTTAATCGTCTCTGCTTTAATTGGACGCTCGTCTATCTCGGTGTCGCTGCCATTTTCGGATTCGATTACTTCCGTAGCTATTTCAATTAAATCGTCATCATCGAGCTCTCGGTCTAGAAGAATCTCGTCGATATCTTCTCTCGTCATATCTGCAAGAATTTCCCCTGCCGCGGAGCTTGCTAAATCAATGATATCTGAATAAGTAGTTGAATTGCTTGTCACGGACATACCACTTTTAACACATTCAGAACTTGCTTTTGACGCGTACAAGATGCAATCCTTGATAGAAAATTTTTTCCAAGCATTGGTGAAGTCCAATTCAGGATTTTCCTCCAGTTTTTCCATAATGCACTGAAAAGTTTTTTTGGGGTAGTACATTTTAAAAGTCGCAATAATGCCTTGATCCATCGGCTGGATAATTGATGTAGGCTTCAGCGGAAGGAAAATGATATTTACATTAGGATGTTCAATCAATGGATGGCCTGGTGCATTGTCAATTATTAAAAGAGCTTTAAAGGGCTGTTTCTTCTTCTCCAAATAACTTTTAACTTCTGGTACAAAGCATTTAGAAAGCCATTCTTGGAATATATTTCCAGTTACCCAGGCTTTTTTATTGGCCATCCAGTGAACACGTAAATATTTCAAATCTTTGCCCTTTAGTGCTCGCGGCCTGAGACTTTTGTTTACTAACAGCGGTTTAATCATGCGGTCGCGAGAAGCATTGCTACATAATAAAAACGTCACACGGTCCTTTGCAGCTTTGAAGCCACCTAATGATTTTTGGTTCTTAGACACATATGTTCGTTTTGGTAACCTCTTCCAAAATAGGCCGGTTTCGTCCGCATTGAAAACTTGGTCTGGCGTGTAACCACCTTCTTGAATAATTTTTAATAACATTGGTGGATAATCCTGCGCAGCTTTACTATCAGCTGAAGCAATTTCACCCTTGGTTTTTAAATTATGAAAATTATGTCTTTCAATAAACTTCGAAAACCATCCACCACTAGCTGAAAATTCGTTTTTGTTTTCTTGGTTCGATGTTAATCGATTAAAAATACGTAGAGATCTTACCAAAACAACTGCACCGACCGCTAACTAAATACATTATAACTAGATTTGCAATAATTGATACACATAGAGTAAAATTTTTTTGTTGGGACTTCCCCTGATTACATTCGAAAATTATTACGCGTAAAAATATGTAAATCGCGTAAAAAAAGGACTGAGCGTATTTATGTATATTAATGTTTATTCGATCGCGTTTTCCCAGGCAGAACAATTAAAATGGGCAACACGAAAACACTATTTGATGGAACAGCATAGCAGATACCTTGTATATGCATAAGTACATACCAAAATGGGGAATTCGACATCTGTTCCCACTATTTGTTGCGTCACGCCAGTCCTTCTTTTTTTTTTTGCTGTGCAACAACATCTGAAAATAAATGCGTTTTTAATTAAAGCTTTGGGCTTGCTCTACAGCCAGCATCCTCTTGCTTCCAAACTCATTAGAGAGTTAAGCATGGTCCTTCGTCACTAAAACTTAACCAACCAGTGAGATACATTAAAAAAAAACTTATTTCAAACAAATGTTACAAATTCAAACTCCGACGCCGTACGACCGAAAAAAAAGAATTTAAACTACAAATTTACAGTGTTTTCATTAAACAAATAGTACATGCCTGCAAAAACATACATATGGGAAAATTATTTAAAAATGTATGTGCCAAACAAACCCCACAACTGGTGCGCAACACATGCTTGTGTGTTGTAGATCAATTGCTATGGTTGCAATAATTCTTTATTGAATATTGAAATGTGCAACAAGAATAATATATAAACGTATATATAGAACATTTGTAAATTAAGCTAAAATTTCTAATTGCGGTCTCCCCTCGGTAGGGAATGCCAAACCCCCAGAGTGTATGTCTAACATGAAAGAAATCTCCTCAGAAAACACCATCAGCTGTAGTCTCTCCGTTTGTTGCAAAAAAATCACGACGCGAAACCACAAATTGGAAGAGGAACTCGTCGAAAAATGGCTTTAGCGGTTACAAAGATATAGTGAAATATACGTACTCATATGTATGTACAAACGATTATTTTACCGTTAATATGATGTGGTGGCTGAGACGTCTCAACGATCCGGAAACCTGAATATCAGTAATCAGTTAAATTTTTTTTAAAGCAGCCGCACCTTAAATTTTTTATTTGGCGGGGAAACGAATGCTAACGGCTTATGTTTTATATAGTTGTTAGTTGTTTTTTCCAATGTTAGCATTAAAACGCATAATAGATATATAAATAAACGATAGATAAACATCTCGGCCCAATACGCAACAAAAGCTATTGTGTTATATAAATACGCGCCTCAGCTGCCACACTCCTATCAATTTTTTTAATTTTATTTTAAAACATATTGGATTCTTATTCTTCACTTGGCCGGCTCCGAAAGAGATATAAAAAAAAATTATTAAATTATATGTAAATTAATAAATGATATGTTATTTGTGGCTAGCCGTGCCGGATAAGACCCACTCAAAGCATCATCTTTCTGGGCTAAAGAAGGCCGAACTAGTCTAGTCATCATAATGTCGGTGTCCGCCCCGAGTACGAACCTTAATGAGCTGGAGGCGTAAAATTGTGTTTCCGCTAAACGAAAGTGTGCGCACGTTAGGGTGACGCCTGGATCTAAGCTGCGTATCGGACTAATTTTATTGAATCTCTTTATCACAGCATTCCTGTCTTTCCACTTTTCCTTCTTCAAGGATAAGGTCTCTGGCGATGTCTTCTAGAATGATACTGGTGGCGACGCAAACATCGAGTAGGGGTCGAATTAAGAGTAATCGTCTTCTTGCTTCTATTTTCATTATTGCTGTTAGAACCACGGCGATGGTTGGGCGAAGAGTCCGGTTCATTACTAATTCGTGATATGAACCCTTGCGTGATGGATGGTGATGATGATGGTGACACGTTGCAAGCTCGCCGAGATGACCTGTTCCATTTTGGGCGGAAAGACCCAGATTACGTTCTTCGTGTTTCGTGTGGTCGGAGAGGTACGACTTTCCTCAATGTGCAGTATGGGGGGTTTCATTGCATAGCCGACAACTTCCTTCGCTAGTACAATTGGCAAATTTAGTCTGCTTCACGCAGTCGCTCTTCTGGCGATTTAGACCGGTAAATGTAAGATAGTTTAAGCGGATGCTTGCCATCGCAAAGCCGATAAGAAATCGGGTACCAATTTTGTTAATTCTCAGTCTTCCTTTTTAGGGCAGTAACCCGTCATGATTCTGAAAGATTGAATTTTTGTGGGCAGCCCTAGCATTGACATGATAAATCAGTTGGGTGGCATAACGACAATAAAAAAAATGCTAATTGGCACTACTGTTTTTATTTCGCTTGTATGCAAGACTGCATTTAGCGTTTGCATATTTCATTATTTTAAGTTCTTTTGATTGTCTTTAATTTTGGCCGAGAGTCTCACCCGAGGGGAGACGCAAAAAATTAAAAAAGGTATTGTATGATATCATTTTTTGAATATGTGCCAATAAATCGCATGCGACTGATTAATCACTCTGGCTTTAAGCACTTCTTTTTGTGAAATACTTATAATTCGATTCGTCGTGCAAAAGCTTATTATTTTTCATATTTGCGTTATTATAGTGAAAATGTCAATTGCTAATGTCCAAAAGAATGAAGGGACGAACACTAGAACACTGTTATGCTGTTATTCATATCTAGCCCATTGGCTCAGTCGAGAATTTAGCAATGGTTATCATATACAATCCAAAATTCATAGGAAAGTCCGTCGATGTGGAAAAGAAGCAGCTGTTAAATTCGGTGCTGCAAACAATGTCATCAGGTTTGATAAATACAATGAGGAATGGACCGAGACATACATTTCTCGCAAGCTCATCTTTGGTATCATCCAACGTATGGTATGGACAAAATAACAGCACAATATCACTTAAATTACTAATTGATCTTGATTTTGCACCTGCTCCGCCTTATTTATTGCTCTTTTTTAAGTCTCTTACACAGTATGGCAACATCGCTTTAGCCATGTATTTGTATGTAATGTGTGTGCTACTAATTTTAGTGTGACTTTAAACGTTAATAATAATAAAACTTTAGCAAAATTCAGCAAAAACAGTTTTGACAAAAGCCGCTCTCCTGTATAATTACCAGTAGTTGTATTATATTAAAAATCTAACGCAATTCACTTATTTAAAAAACAATGGGTTATGATACACTTGTTCTATTTTTATTCATCGGTAATGGGTATTGATTGAGCGAACTGGGCGAGTGATTCACATCGCATTGTAAGGTGTGATATCCGTTTAGCTGCTGGTACGGAGTAAAGCGTATTCTTGAAAGCGGTAGTCCCATTTGACTCATTGAGGACACTCATACTGAACTTCTTAGATCTGTATGGAAAGATTTCATAGGTATATATCACAGCCAACACGTGAGTTTAAATGGTGAATTAAAGATCAGTACACAGTATTTAATTTTTTTTTTTTTCAAAATTATTTCAAGAGTAATACATTTATATATATATAATTTCAACAACTAGTTATTATTATTATTTTTGAAATTCTTCATTTATTCCTATTAAAATAGTTAAAGGTTTTTATTAATTCCCCGGTCGTATGTGCTTTTTCAAGAGCTAAGAAATGTTTACACTTATACACTAAGGGCGGTATGTGTATTTAAGTATATTTAACTAAATATTTTGTTTAGTTATAAGAAAAGATTACTTATATTTGTATTTTTCCGTAGGCACTGAGTTTATTTTGATGTGGTTTATTAAATAATCTTTGTAGTCGATATGCATATTGGTGAAGTTACCCCCCCGATATGGAATAAGATGTAGGCTTTTGGAGTAGTATTTGTTTTGTATTGTATTGCATATATTTATTTGTTGGTTAGACGTGTCTTCTAAGTCTGCTCTCTCTAATGGAAGAATGACTAATTTGGCAAGCGGTCTTGTTATCTTACCCTTTTCGATTAGATTGTGGATGTATGTTGATTCCTCGACGTTTGGTGGTTTTCTTCTTTAATGACGAAGTCTCCAACTTTTGTGTTCCATTCCAAGCGTGTTGCATTAGAGTGTGATACTGTGTTTTCTATCTTCGGCAGAATGTTTGATGGTGGGCTTTGAAATTCTGCCATTGATTGATTATTGGGGCAGGAGTTTTGTTAATATTCTGGTGGAGATAATAAATGTTCGCTTCATTTGAGGATGTTAAATTAGTCGCGAGATACGACAAAACTTAACCCGACGTAAAATAGTTGTGAGTTCTTGGAATGTGTATTTATTATCCCATGCAACTTTGGTAAAGTGGATTTAAAACTTTCAACATAGATGAAATTTTTAATGTCCTATTTCGAAATTTTCAATTGCGGACTCTATGATTTC